CCCCCTGCACCCTAACCCCAAACCACCTCCACCTACACCTTGCACGAATGCCAATTCCCACATTCACCTTGATCCCGGAGGTTCAGGGGTTCGAAGGCAAGGAAACCCGCTTCCAAACCTTCTCTACCCCGAAACCCCGAACCTATCCTATCTCCGAGATCCCTTGTTAGCAGCCGTAAATTCCTGAATCCTCAACCCCTCGAACCCTTGGTCTCCCAAACTCTCAAACCTACTTACCTCTCAGGCCTTGTCTGGGGATCCGAAGCAGCACCATCCTGTTCTTGGGGTTTAGGGTTTAGGGCTCCGCTCAAGGATGAACAACAGGAAAAACAGCCTCAACACACATGCCTGCTCCAGCCAAAGGTCCCGGTGGGCAGTTCCTAGCCCACCCACCGAATGCGGGCCGTTACGTGGCAGCGAAAGCTAACCTGGCAGTTTAGGCCTTTAGGACTTTAGGATTTACGCTTAGGATTCTAGGTGCGGGCTTTTGGACTTGTAAGGCTGTAAGGCGTAGTAAGTAGATTCGACTACCAGGGTGCGTGACTATTGCTCAGTGCTTTAGAGTCCGTGTCTCTATGTGTTTCCTGCGGGTTGCCTTTATGCTCTTTTCGTAGGGTTACGCCGTGCAACTGCACGAGTGGCTAAACTATCGTGAGAAAACTATGACCTACAGGACCTAGAGTACTTTGGGATCTGCGCTGTTTTGTAATTGGCATATCTTGTCGTTGAAGTGCCACAGCATTCATGCTCTGATCTCTTTGGGCTCATGAGGTTATATACTTGCAAGGAACCGAGACTTGTAAGCCACCAGCCCTCAAAGCCGTGAATCCCGTAATGCCAAAAAACAAGTTGCAATACCTTTTGTTGCAATACCTTGACAATAATCGTCAGCCTCCAAGCCTGACCCAAAGCTAAGTTCCGAACTTCAAAGCCCAAACCTAAGACATCAATCATCTGAGAAGCCGTTGTGTGTCAGCTCCGGTTTCGTTATACTGAGAGTACGTACAGCGGTCTGTTAAGTTAGGCGTGGCAAAATTTGAGTGTGTTGCCCCAGGGACCCTACTATGATTCAAGGTATATCCCTTAATTAAAACAGGGATCCTTAAAGGGTTCTATAAGGGATCTACGGGGTTAAGGGTCTACTAGGTTCCTGAGTCGTACCCCTTTGCCCTTGTTCTTTTTGAGTTCCCTTTATTAAAGCCACATAGTAGTAAAAGGGCACCCGTAGTATTAAGGGGCCACTGAGGAACTCAGGGGTTTAGGCACACGCAGTCCATTGAGTTTCACGCCAAAGGCTTCCTCTGGCTACTTCGGGCTATATTGTGTGGTTGATGGCTTAGGGTTTAGGGTTTGGGGTCCTGAAGAAGGAAATAAACCTCACGTACATTTTGTAAGCCCGAAACCCTCAACACCAAACGAGAAATCTCAGAGTGTCCGCTTCTGGTTTGCGACTTCGGTCTGGGATCAAAGCGGCTGGCGCTGTTCAAGGCTTACGGGTTGGGGTGTAGGTTTGGGTGTTGTTGTATATAACACATATAGTATAGGTAAAGTATAAATCATATAAGTGGATGATCTGCAATCAAAAATGCCGGATGTTTAATATGAAACATAGCTTGGCTTAGCCTCACTTGGAGGTTCATGGGTAGTTCTAGGTAGGGTTATAAGTAGGGTAACGGTACCCATAACCCATATTAGGGGACTTATAACCCCACTTATAACTACCCCTGAACCTCCAAACCCTATACCCTTATAGGATCCCTATAGATCCCTTTAAAAGGATCCTTAAAGGGACCCTTATTATAACTACCCCTGAACCTCCAAGCAAGCCCTCAAAGCGCGTCGGTCGTCCTCCCGAGCTTCGCTCCAAGGCTACTCGCCGGAGCTGCAGTCAGAAACGGCCTCCAGACAGCATAGGGTTTAGGAGTTTAGGGTTTAGGAGTTGAGGGTTTAGGAATGTATAGGGTTCATAGGGTTTAGGAGTTTAGGGTTTAGGAGTTTAGGAGTTTAGACGGCTTATGTAGGGATTTATAGGGTTAGGCCTGGGTTTGGAGTAACCCTAAGGGTCCATGTACCCATATAGAGATACATCAGCCCCAATGTGCCTCTCTTCATAGAGACTACATTAAGGCCAACGTATATACTATATGAGTACATGGACTCTTAGGGTCACATACTTGAATACTTTTTTCGGGGTACCTGTTCCTTAGAGGAATCACTGTGAAATAAAAGTCTATACTTTTGTCTCCCTGGTTACTTCAAAGTACAGATTGCCACCACTGGCCTAAACCTGCTGAGTCTCTGGGTTGATGATTGTACTGTAGGGGCCTTACTAATTACCTCTACTGTTTGGGGGTTTCCTTATTACAGTTATAGTAGTAATCATGGGCCCCAGAACCCTATTCTATCGACGGATTTGCGAATTGCATACATGATCCATCTGTGTCTACGGTTTGTAGTGGGCCCCAAAAAGTTGGAAACCGGACAAAGGACAATTTGCGCTGGGATTTCCTAAACATTACTCTTAGGGACTGAGGCTATTGGGTTTCCAACTTTTTGGCTTCTACTGTAGCGTTTAGTGGTCTCTGGCTGCGACTCCAACCTGTCTAAATCCTCAACCCTCTCTAAATCCCTAGTTCATAAATCCCAAATCTTACCTCAGTAATGCCTGAATCGTATAGAGTGTTCTCTTTGGGAATGTGCGCTTAAAGTTTCACTTAAAGGGTTCCGAGTTTATAGGTAAATTGAGAATGAGCTTCGGCATCTTGGAGAGACGGTATTCCTTCGCCGTTCCTGGGTGACTTTAGTACTACATACGCTTTGGTCACACATGTTCAGCCCTAATCCTAAACCCTAAACCCCGCGTAAATTAAACCAATAAACAACCAGTTCGGGAGCCTAAACCCTTCGGCTGCGTTGGTCATCCCAATTAAAAGGTGAGTGCGTGAGCCCACATGCGAGGTGGGCTCACAGCTGCTTCAGGTTTATGGGGTTTCTGGAAAGACTCGGTATTGTAAAGATGGACCAGAAAGCAGTGGCATGTTGCTTGCATTCATGGAAATCTCTTAATGTAACATGGGTTTGTAGCCCTAAAACTTTGGGTTATTTAGGCATAGGACCCCATGTCGGAAGCCCATCTGCCATATGGGTAGTTGTCAATGGTCCCTTTCTGCGTCCCTAATATGGTACGGCACCTAATATTTAGGGTACCCAAAAGGGGACCATAATTTTGACAACCACCCATATGGGCACCAGCAAGCCCATCTTTTCTGCGCGGGATGACCGATATCTGATCCACGCCCGGCACCAGTTCGATTTCTTTACCCATAGGCCCTATAGTAGTTCCTTTTTTGGGGTTTCATATGTAGAATCCTATAAGGTAATCCCAAAAAGGAAGTACTATGGGGCCTATGGTTACTGCACATGAAACATCTCAGCCCTTCAACCCATCGACCTTCGCCTGCATAGTCCGAGTTCCGAGAGTCCAACCCCCATACCTAGAGGCTCATACCCTACCCTTTTTTAAGGTACCTAATTTTCTACATGACAGATCCTAACCATAAAACTCGGTATCCCCAAAAAGGGGTAGGGTACAAGCCTCTAGGTACTGTTTTGTGTTTGAGGTCTTTCGGCTAATCCTAAACCCGAAGCCCTAAACCCCTCAATCCCTAAACCCGAACCCCAAGGGTCCAAGTACCCAATAATCGTACACTCTCCGAAATCCTAACCTGCATAACTACTATCCTAAAGCCGAGTACCTAATTATTGGGTCCTTTGGATCCTTGGGGGAAGAGGTGGCGTCCTACTATTCCGCGACGCGCTTCAAGAAGCCCGACCGGGCTGCTCAGCTACTTTAAACCCTAAACCCTAAACCCTTCTGTGTAAGGTTTTTCGGTCTCGGCTTCCCTAGAGGTCCGTATGCTTTTAAGGGTTCGTTATGAAAGGATATAATTAGGTTTAAGGTTTCGGGTGTCAGGTTCATGATTTGGTGTTTAGGTCTTAAAGGTTTAGGAATTGGTGTTGAGGGCTTTGCTTGTGGCTCAGGTATCAGCCTTCCTACAAGAAGAGACCTGCTATCCTTTATGCGGGTTTATGGCGAATGGCCGAACCACGAAATCTACGCTCTAAGCATAAATCAAAAGGCTAGAGTGGCAAAGCCCGATGTAGACTCTAGAACCTCAGAGAATTGGGAGTGGCGGTCCTGCTGCATCACACAGTTGCCAATCTCGTGAAGTTAAGCCACCAGGGCATTCCACTCTCCAGACGTTTGGAGTTTCGGGTCTCGGTGTGTGATTTTGTGTTCTGTGTTGTGTTAGGCTTCAGGGTTAGGGAAAGAAGTTTGTTTTTTTCTCGGGAGGAGGGGTTTAAGGCTTGAGGGGTTAAGTGTTCATGATCTAAGTCATGTTGTCCCTCTTGCTGATCGGAAGACAGCAAATTATCAACTTAGTGCTGAGGCGGTTTCATAGTATCCGGTTCAGCATTTAGGATATTGCTATTGATGCTGCCGCCACTTCTAGTGCTGCTACTGCTACCACTGCTACTGCTACTACTACGACGACGACTACTACTACGACGACTACTACTACTACTACTACTACTCCTGCTGCTAGTGCTGCTGCTACTACTACTACTACTTCTTCTTCTACCACTACCACTGCTACTGCTACTGCTACTGTTACTGCTACTGCTCCTACTGCTCCTACTGCTCCTACTGCCTACTGCTCCTACTGCTCCTACTGCTCCTACTGCTACTGCTACTGCTACTGCTACTACAGTTCAGGGCCCCCCAAATCGAACTTGATAAATTGGGGTGGGGCGACGGTTGGGTGTTTGACTAGGATATGGGATGTGGGCTTTTTGGCGTCCTGTGCAGACAAGTATTGCAGGAATGGGCATGGATTCGCTTGCTGCTGTGTACTGTTGTGCATCTGTGCTTTGCTTACAAGTCAAACTGCTTGTAGTATTCAAGCGAAAGCACTTCGCTCCTCGCGAGATTGGAAGCCATGACGAAAGCCGAGCAGAAGAAGGCCGTGCAGTTCACCCGCATGTGCAAGTTCTGGCAGACCAACGAGTGCAAAATGGGGGCAGACTGCACGTTCGCACACGAAACGACAGAGTTGCGCCCCAGCCCGAAGCCGTGCTTTGACTTCGCGAAGAAAGGCGTCTGCACTCGGGGTGATGCATGTCGGTTTGTGCACCAGCTTGGGCCAAAGGCGAAGGTCAAGGTTCCTGAGATGCCCAACGCAGCTTTCCCGATGATCCAGCCCTGCGTTCCATCCCAGCTCCTCGCCGCCTACACGATGCCGACGCAGAGTTTCGAAGCGCCCCAAAGGTTTGTCTTGAACTCTGCCGCAGCACCGTGGTTTCCACGGGAATCGGATGCCGTTTTGAACCAATTCCCTCAAGCGCCGCCCGGGCTGGATCAAATCCCTTTGCCCGCGAGCCTCATCCGTGGTGCCGTTTGCATGGCAGACAACAGGGATGAGGCAGATTTATGCTCCACACGCTCGGGTGAATCCTTGCTCGGCTGCCATGGTGGCCCTTAGAATCGCTGTTTTTGCCGTTGGCTGCTGAATCTATTCCTGTAGCGGCTCTCTTTGTGTTTTTCCAGGGTTTGCAACAGCAGTAAAGGCTTGGAGCAGTTCCCCGTCTCCATCTCCGGAGTGAAGAGCATGGCGGCCGACGACATGATGTTTGCAACAGGGAGTTTGACGTCGACGATGAGCCTGAGCGCAACGCCCTCGCAATTCAGGGAGGTTTACGGTGTGGAAGATTATGTTTGCTTGTCCGTGTGACTTGCTGCCACACGGGGTCGCGTCTTCCGACCGAATATGTATTGTAGTCCCTTAAGGAAGTCAGGTGCTGAACACCTGGGTCAAGCCACTAGTTCGCACTCGGGGTCACCACCGACTAGCTCACTTGATCCTGCAGCCCTTTTCAGCAAAAGCAGCTCTACAGATTAACAGGCTTTTTGCAAACTTACTCTACATGTTCTGAGCGTCTCGTGCAGAGCAGCCGTATCTCGAGCCTACAGTTTCTGCTTGTTGCACGACGAACCGGATCCCTAGTCCTTGAACCACCCGGACCATAATCCTAACACCGCAACCCCCGGATTCACAGCCAACTGGTTGCGAAGTATGAATGCCTTGAGGTCGCATTCGATCAGGTGAGTCAGTCAGTCCACTTGCCGTCATAGAGATACGTCACTTGGATTGGTGTTGACGGTCTTGTTGAACGGTCACACATCCCCCACCTATTTTGACTGAGTAGCTGAGTGGATACACTTTACACAAAATATTACCCACTATAATTCTGAAAGTGTACACTTGCTGGGGGCTTATGAACTCAGCAACTAAGTTGAGCTTGCTGGAGATACTTCAGGCTGGGGAGGTTTGGACTCGCGCAGCGGATTTGGGTCCACGGTGCTTCGGTGCGGGGATTCAAGAAAGTCTAAGGGTAAAAGGAGGGACCTTTCATAAGGACCCCTAGGTATATACCCTTACTATAGCCATTATATACCCATTATATAGCCCATTCTAGGGACCCAGGGGTCCCCATTAAGGGTCCCTCCTTTTCCCCCTCAAGAAAGAGGCTTGAGGAATTCGGTCGACGGCGACTTGATCTCGTGTGCGAGAAGGAGAGCGTACCGTAAACCTGTGTGACTGTATGTCCTCAGCCTGGGCCTGGTTTAGGTAACCTTTCACCAGTTTGGGTAGTGTAGTCCCTATATAACCCCTATGGCCCTATATAACCAAAAAAGTTAACCTTCAGTTCCCCATCATACACGACAAGTGGGCCTGGTTTAGGGTTTACCTGGACCCTAAGGAACCTACCACCTTTTTAGGGCCCCCTAATATGATTTCTTTATAAGTCCCTAGAAAGGTAGGTTATTTGGGGTTTAGGGCTTAAGGAAGTAATGCGCCTAATTGGCAGCCATATAGTTGATTTGCTGGTGGAAGGATTTCAAAGTGGCTTGCCGCGTTGCCGAACTACCTAGTATCGTGGCACCAGGGAAACTGTGGCCCGGTGCCAGCGCATGGTGGTACCAGCACTAGTATTTGCCATCGACGTCGTTCACATACTGGAGGTAGTAGTGCTACTCGTGTCAATGCTGGTGGTGGTGGTTGTGGTGGTCCTCGTAGTGGAAGTAGTAGTGGCAGTAGTGGTTGTAGAAGCAGTAGACGTACTAGCACTCGAGGTACTAGCACGAGTATTGGTACCAGTACCAGTAGCAGCAGTGGTGGAAGTAGTAGTAGTAGTAGTAGTAGTCGTAGTAGTAGAAGTAGAAGTAGAAGTAGAAGTAGAAGTAGAAGTAGAAGTAGTAGCAGTAGTAGAAGTAGAAGTAGTAGTAGTAGCAGTAGTAGTAGTAGTAGAAGTAGTAGAAATAGAAGTAGTAGTAGCAGTAGTAGTAGTAGTAGCAGTATCAGTAGCAGTAGCAGTAGTAGTAGAAGTAGTAGTAGTAGTAGTAGTAGTAGTGGTGGTGGTGGTGGTGGTGGTGGTAGTAGCAGTCGGCATTGTAGCGGTAGCAGTAGCAGTGCTACTAGTACGTTTATTGGTACTAGTTTTTCTACTCGTACTAGTACCAGTAACAGTAGTAGTAGCAGTAGTAGTAGTAGTAGTAGTAGTGGTGGTAGTAGTAGTAGTAGTGGTGGTGGTAGTAGTAGTAGTAGTAATAGTAGTAGTAATAGTAGTAGTCATAGTAGTAGCAGTAGTTGCAGTAATAGTAGTAATAGTAGTGGTAGTAGTGGTAGCGGGAGGAGTAAGAGCACGAGTGGTAGTAACATCAAACTTGTCATGGTGGGGTGCACATTAAAGTCGTTAGTCCGTTTGACAGGCACTGTATAGACAAGGCCCAGGCTTCGCGCATGCTCGGTGCAGAGATGCCAAGCATGCCACTCTGGCTATTCGAGAATCTGGGATGGGGAAGGAACCCCACATGTATACCCACCGATCCTCCAAATCCCGAGTCCCCTGCCCTGAATCCCTGCAAAACCCTGTAGGGTCCAAGCACGGGGGATCGGAATGGTGGGATCCTTCTCGGCACATGTATGATGTTCGGAGGTTCAGTCAGTGGCTTTGGGTGGGGAGTGCCATGTCTTATGCCTCGGCTAAAGCAACATCCTTGAACGGATTTGAGCATAGTCTCAGAAATCCAGACTGTGCACTTATTCTGTACTGAATTGGAACACAGCAAAACTCGGACACTTTCCGTAGATTCTATCTTTTCATGTCGGCGTGGGCGCACGGGTCATTGGAGCCCTAGCCGACCAACTTTTCGTGGGACAACTTGGTGTGGGTAGCCTGAGCTGTAGATGGCTCAAGACTGAAGCTCGGTAGATAGTAGATAAAAACGATGAATGCTGGATCCAACAAGCTCCCAAATGTTGGGGTGTCAGGGTGACTTGATTGTAGAACCGGGCACATTCGGACCAAAACGTTTCATTACGTCATCCAGTTGCCGCGCCACTGAACCTGAAGCAGCTTTGTCTTTCATTCTCATCAGGGTCCATGTGGCTAACTTACTATATGCTTCCGCCTGAAGGAGATTTTCCTATAGGAAAGGTACTTTTGATCGAATAGGTGTCAGTGTGTTTCCATATTACGCAGGTGCATATGTGTATATATATATATACATACACATATGTGTATTTGGATGTTTCCCTATAGAATACACATACACACGTGCGTGTATATGTACACATTCACGTACACATAAACACTGTATAAGCATTGTATATACATAGATGTTGGGATATGTATATGTAAATGTATGTGTATATATAGGTAACGCTTTGAATGCACATACACAGCATACATATCTGCATGTATATGTATATATGTATATATGCATGTATGTATGCATTCATGTAAGCATGTATGTATGTATGTATGCATGTATGTATGTATGTATGTGTGTATTTATGTATGCATATCTAGTTGTAAATGCACATGTGCATCTACGTTATATAACATAATGTAATGTAAGATAAGATAATATAATAAAATATATTGTAATATATTACGATATAATATAATAAAATGTAATGTAGTTTGATATACCTATATATATATATATATATATACATATGCATTCACACATACATGAACATGCCTACCTATGTATACATACATAACATATATACATATATATATATATATATATATATACATACGTGTTGATTGTGTACACAGTTTGCACGACGATGCAAAACCGGAGCATGGACCCTGCTGCTTTTCTGATGACATCCCCGGCGCAAATGCGCGTGGACCTCTGCGGGCGGCGTCGGGGTGCTTGACACATTGGAGTGCTGCATGACAGTGCAATGCTGGTGGTGTATAACTTGTTGTCATATCATGCCCAGCATAGAAAGCAGTGTCAACCGAAGATTCCAATTATCCTGCTATGTCCTCGTCATCTCATAACAAGGCCACTTACCGGTGTCCAGGTCTTGTGTGTTCTGACGGCATCCCAAACTCTAAACCCGCAGATGAAGTACTCCGTCCAAGTTCATACCCGTAGCTAGGCAAGTGTAGGCTTGCAGTCATCGGTATCATCCGACGGCAATTAGTTTCGATCATTGCCCCAAGCCTTCATCCGGCTGCAGTGTGGCTTGCAGTTTGTGCAGGTGGCTTGCAGGCACTCCAGATTAGACGGACTGACTCTTTCTTGGCTTGAATGAGTTGTGGTTCGCGGCGTCGTGTCACTTATATGTTGCCCTGTTCTGTGCTGTTTCTTCCTTTTAGATCGAGAGAGTTTGGTGAATTTCATCGGGGGTGAACATAATGCACAAGAATCTGTAGAAACATCGACGGTAGCCTTTGTGAGGAGCGTTTGATCTTGACCGAGGTGAGGTTGAGGCTGCTTGAAAGAATCATGATCGTGATCCCGACCTCGGAGCCATATGCTGTTGCGACGACTGCATTGGGGTTTAGGTTGCCGTATATATGAGAGTTTCCGAAAATTGGGGGTACCTTATTTTGGGGTCCTTATAATAAGGATCCTACGGTACTATATTAGGGTCCCCAAGTTTCGGAAACTCCTATATAGACCCTGAGCCTGACACCTAAATTACAATGCTATGTACCAGTTGAGTTTCGAGTTGAGTTTCAAGCCTGCTGGGTTCCTATGAAGACCATAAGGTTCCAGCTTGCCGGCACACACCCAAAGCCCGTGCTGAAAAGGGTTTAGGGTTTCGAATGGCTAAGACCCAGTGTTTTCCATTTCCAATGACATGATCCTTGTCAACACTGCTGCTTAGTGCAGTCATCATGGTCACGATAGCCAGGTTAAGCCAAGCAACAAGTGCCTTACGTGTGCTGATGCCGAGACCGGTATATCTATGCACATACGTTGATGTGTATATATGTATATATAATATACACAAATGTATGTATGTATATACACAACTGGTGCACAGTGTGACTTCTACTCGATACTGTTTTCGCTGCTTATTAATGTCTCTTTGAAGCGCAGTACTACATGGCACTGTTTAGTATTGTGTTACTTGCTACCACACTACTGCTTACGTACCAGTGGTACTTTCTACCGTTAGTACTTGCTACTGCTACTCACTAACTGGCGTACTACCTACTAGTTACAAACTGCTGATTGCTGCGAAATACTGCTCATTGTTGCTTGCTACCTACCACTACTTGCTCCGAGTACTGCTGCTGATATTGGGGATAGTACTGCTACTGCTTCTGCTACTGCTAGTCCTGCTGCCACTACTACTACTACTACTACTACTACTACTACTACTACTACTACTACTACTACTACTACTACTACTACTACTACTACTACTACTACTACTACTACTACTACTACTAACTACTATTATAACTACTACTAACTACTACTAACTACTACTAACTACTACTACTACTACTACTACTACTACTACTACTACTACTACTACTACTACTACTACTACTACTACGACTACGACTACGACTACGACTACGACTACGACTACGACCGCGACTACGACTACGACTACGACTACGACTACGACTACGACTACGACTACGACTACGACTACGACTACGGCTACGGCTACGGCTACGACTACGACTACGACTACGACTACGACTACTACTACTACTACTACTACACGACGACATCCGACAGCCACTGCCACCACCAAAGCCACCACAGTCACTGCGAGCTATTTCTGATATGTGTTTGCCCATAGGCAGATGGGTGGTTGTCAAAATTAGGGTACCTTTTTGGCTCCCTGTTTTAAGACGGCACCTATCATTTAGAGTACCCCAAAAAGGGGCCCTATTTTTGACAACCACCCAGATAGCCATCACTTGAATGGTTGCAGGCAGCTTTTGTTTTGCACAGGTGTCGTGCTATCATCATCGGGCTCACCATGCTAGCGTCAAGGTTTTTTCATCCCTGACTTTCGAGACACTGTTGCTGCTCAGTATAACTTTGTCATAGTTGGGTAACATTTTACATTTTTATGGGTACTTAAACCCAGTAAGGACTAAACATTTAGTTTTTTCATCCTATCCCAACCATGAACTACTATACGTTGTTCGTAAAAACCAGCTGCCGACCACAGCTCCGTTGAGTGGAAACATTTGGCGTGCGCGCAGCCGTGATTTTGTGTAAATATCAATCCGCGGCGCACTCCACCGGGAAATCCAGCAGTGCATCCTTGGATTGAAGATGCCATGGTATGACCACAGACCAAAGCGGGCGCAAAGCACGAAAAGTTAGAGCAGGTTACGGCTGGTTGTAATGTTTGTGGTGAAGTCGGGGACCGTAAGATCAGACCGAATCAGCCATTAATGCCCTAAGGGTCCATGTACCAATATAGTATAGACGTTGGCCCCAATGTACTTATATAGGGACTACTTTAAGGCCAATATACATATATATATATATATATATATATATGTACTGTATGGGTACAGGGACCCTCAGTGATGGTACATAATATCCTAGCAGTAATCGAGATGATCTGGAAAGTGGGGATGCGGTTGGTGAATATGACACAAAGTTTGGGCGCTTGTCCAAAGCTTTCCTGTTTGGGCTGTTGCCTGTCGGCATGTCTTCACGAGCGGCACTGTTGCATGGGCATGGTTCGCATGACTCGTGCTGTTCTCTATCTTTGCTTGGCCGGCAGATCAGAGTGCCCTTAGTTGGTTTTGAACATTGCCACTTCGCTCCAAGAGTTTGGAAAGCCATGACGAAAGCCGAGCAGAAGAAGGCCGTGCAGTTCACCCGCATGTGCAAGTTCTGGCGGACCAACGAGTGCAAAATGGGGGCAGACTGCACGTTTGCACACGAAACGACAGAGTTGCGCCCCAGCCCGAAGCCGTGCTTTGACTTCGCGAAGAAAGGCGTCTGCACTCGGGGTGATGCATGTCGGTTTGTGCACCAGCTTGGGCCAAAGGCGAAGGTCAAGGTTCCTGAGATGCCCAACGCAGCCTTCCAGATGATGCAGCCCTGCGTTCCATCCCAGCTCCTCGCTGCCTACACGATGCCAACGCAGAGCCTCGAAGCGCCCCAAAGGTTTGCCTTGAACTCTGCCGCAGCACCGTGGTTTCCGCGGACATCGGATGCCGTTTTGAACCACTTCCCTCAAGCACCACCCGGGCTGGATCAAATCCCTTTGCCCGCGAGCCTCATCGGTGGTGCTGTTTGTATGACGGAGACCAGGCTGTTCAGTGCTACACTTATATGTCCAGGTTTCTGGGTTCCTATTATAAAATAAGAAACCCTTTTTCTCAGTGGGTTACTAAACAGCCTAGGAGAGCAAGGATGAGGCAGACTTGTGTTCCACGAGCTCGGGTGAATCCTCCTTGGGCCGCCTTGCTCGCCCTTAGACTTACCTTTGGTTAGTAGGGAATGGAGGAACGGGGTACCATTATAACTACCATTTCTACCATTCTTCCATTCCCTACTAACCAAAGGTAAGTAGAACCCTTGTGGCTGCCATTTTTCGTTTTCTTGTAGCGGCTCAGCTTTGTTTTTGTTTCCATGGTTTTGCAAGAGCAACGAAGGATTGGAGCGGTTCCCCTTCTCCGGAATGAAGAGCATGGCGGCCGACAACATGATGTTTACAACAGGGAGTTTGACGTCGACGATGAGCCTGAGCGCAGCGCCCTCGCAATTCAGGGAGGCTTACGGTGTGGAAGACTATGTCTGCTTGTCCGTGTGACTTGCTACCACACCGGGGTCTCGTCTTCCGCCGAGCATCTAGACCCGTAAGGTAGCCATGTTGAACACGTGAGTGAAACAGAGCTCGAAGTAGGTTTTTGCAGCCTATTCATCACTAGTTCACTTGATCCTGTAGCCTTAAACCCGAAACCCTAAAGCCAACCTCCTTTTTCAGCGAAAGCAGCTCTACAGATCCAGAAACAATATTTCACAACATCTACTGACTACATCTTCTGCAATCGGCTCGGTACTTCCTATGAGGCCCTGCGTCAAGCTTTGGGGCCCTGGACTTCGAAAACCCTGCATTACCCTGACACCACCTCCGTGGATTCACAGCCCACTGGACGCTAGTTACGAAGGCCCTTGACGTATGAGAAGCAACGCATTCACCCAAAGGGTCCAAAGTATCTGTATAGTAGACTGTAGGGTTTCTATAATAGGAATTACTATTATGATTTGGGGAAGTATCCCCCATAAGAGTACCTAGGACCCTTTGGGTCAGTCATGTTCAAAATCGCAACCAGCCCGGAAAATTTGGACGCAACAGACTTGGGGTCCACGGTGCTTCGGTGCGGGCTTCAAGAAGGGAGCTCCGGGGTCCGTTCGGCAGCAATGTGATCTCGTGGTTCAGGAGGGGAGCGTGCCACATGCCTGCGACTGTATGTCGAGCTTGGGCTAGAGTTGAACAAGTCATGCAGCCATGCATCTAGCAACAGAAAGTATTTGTACTACTAGCATTACGTGTAATACTACGTGCACGACTAGAACTACTGGTACGACAGTATTTCAACAAGTTCTACAAGTGCTACAAGTACCGCAAGTAGTAGTCGTGGTAGTAATAGTGCTAGCAGTAGCAGGTGCTACTATGACCTTTGTTGCTACAGGATACTACTAAGGTCAAACTGCTGTATGCGTGCACGTCACATCTTCCCGTCCCTTCCAGGCAATCGTAGGCCATGGACAATGTCCAGGCGTTTTGCAGCTTGGTGCAGAGTTACCAAGCATGCAGGTCTAGCTAGTTGAGAATCTGCCGCGGTGAAGGACCGCATGTTTACCCACCGAGCCCGGTCCAAGCACTGGGGCTCGGGTTGGTGGGATCCTTCTCCGCACAGGTAGGATGTTTGGAGGTTCAGTTGGTGGCTTGGGGTTGTGGGGTGCCATACACGTCCTTCACTTGATTTGAGCCCGGTCCCCTTTCAGCACAATCCAAACACCTCCATCATGTCGGCTCGGGTGAGCGAGTAATTGGAGCCTTCGATGACTAATCTTTTCCTGCAGGAGAAATGGATGATATGCGAAGCCTCAGCTGCAGATGTGTGAAGCTTGTGTTCTAGATGGTAGACAGAAACGGTGAACGCCGGACCCAATTCATGATCCCTAAGGGTCCGTACCTACATAGTATATACATTGGCCTTAAAGTACTCGCTATATGGGTACATGGGGCCCAAAGTATATGCCATTTGGGCACATGGAGCCTTAGGGGGTTCAGGGTGCTCTCAACTACAAGTGGGGTAACTGAAGAGTTACCTAGTAGTAGAGTAGGTAACCTATTTAGCCTTTTTTGGGTAGTATAGTCCCTATATAACCCCTATATAACCAAAAGGTTAACCTTCAGTTCCCCATGATACCCGACAAGTAGGGTTAAGTCTCTCACGAAAGACATCGACATGCCACGCCACTGGACCTGAAGCAGTTTCGTCTCTCATTTTCATAAGGGAGAATGACCTTAAAGATGTTCCGGGGGTACCACACCATGTAGGTGCATGTGAAATATATGTGTATACATATATATATATATATATGTATATATATATACATAATATATACACATCCAGATCTACGTCTACATAAATGAACAGACATACAAACCTTTGTTTACATATACATGTATATGTGTACACAACATAGATCATGAAACTGCACGCTAGCACAACGGGACATCGACCCTTATGGTATGCTGTTCTCTGTATGACATCCCCGGCGCAAATGCGCGTTGACCCTCTGCGGGCGGCGCCGGGGTGCTTGACACATTGGAGTGCTTCTCGACATCGCAGTGCTGGTGGGGAATGCGGAAGCTATGGGGCCAGCATGTCCATCATCATTCACAGCAGTGACAACAGAAGACCTACCCTCTTGTATGTCCTCGTTGTTTGTACGGAGCCCCAAGTTGTGTACCGCTAAGCATTATTTTTCGAGCAGCACATCAGCACACGTTCAGTACCTGCGCGGGTTTGCAGGTCGATGTGAGGGACTGAGATTTAGGCATTTAGGCATCGAGCCCTAGACATTCAGAGCCTACTACTTCGAATTCATCCACTAGGGTGGGTGTTCAAGGATCACGAACTGAGCTGCACCGCGGTTGGAGGGCACTCCAGATTAGACCCAGTCTTTTTTGGCTTGAGTGAGCTGCGGTTAGCCGCGTCTTGACGCTTGCATGCTGCGCTGCCATGTACTGATGGTTCATTGAAGCTACCGCTACACGGCTACTGTTTCTGCTACTGCTGCTACTCGTACAACTGCTGCTACTGCTGCCACTGCCAAATGCTAGCAATTTTCTTCACCTGCAAAGTTGACAAGTGGATATGTGATGCAACAAGCAGTGACAGGACATTACGAAAGTACTGTGAATACCGAGTAAAATGCACGTGCGTGCATGCGTGTCGTCATTACCCCCCTCCCCCCCAACCCTCCGAAACCTTCCAGAATCCGAAGCTCGAGTTTGTACAGTCGACAAGTGGATTTTCAGACAACAAGAAGTGGTAAGGTCTTTACGAAACTATTGCAGATACCGAGTGAAATGGATGTGCCCCTAAGACGGTTTAGAGCAAGTGTAGTTGGTATATAGGAGGGGAGGCGTGCGGACTAATGTTACTACTTATTGCTGCTGCTACCACCACTACTACTACTACTACTACTGCTACTACTACTGCTACTGCTACTGCTACTGCTACTACTACTACTACTACTACTACTACTACTACTACTACTACTATCTACTACTACTACTACTACTACTACTACTCCTACTGCTACTGCTACTGCGACTGCTACTGCTACTGCTACTGCTACTGCTACTACTACCACTACTACCACTACTACCACTACTACCACTACTGCCGCTACTACCTTTGTTCCCTTCCTATCGCAGCTACGACAGCTGCTGCTGCAGCTATCCACGCCTTGAATACACTACGGGCGACTAGTCATCTCTTTCGAGCAAAGCTATCAATCGATTGCTCTGGCTCACCAGCTATCAGTCTTAATTTCACCAAAACGACAGACGACAGATAGTCATGACCTGAGGGAGCAAAGCCAACATGAATTGCTTCAGTTGGCCAGCTATCAGATTTAATTTGGGTTAAGGATTTCAAGAGGACTTCCGCACCACTGTTGCTCTGATCTGCTGTTCGTGAAGCAATACTTGCCAACCGCAGCTCCGTTGTGTTGGAAATATGGCGTGTGCCAAGCCGTGATTTGGTTTGTAAATATCAATCTGCGGCACGCTCCACCGGGAAATCCAGCAGTGCATCTTCGGATTGAAGATGCCATGGTGTCGGGATGATTTTCCAACAACAGCCGCGAAAGCAGACACAAAGCACGAAAAGGACATTAGCCGGGCCGAAATACTTACCAGGACCATTTTGGGGGTTCCTGATTATAATTGCAGCATAATGGGCACCAGCAGCCCTATTCTAAAGGCCCTTATATTCAATCAAACAGAGTGCCTTGCTTCTTAGCCCGCAGAATTTTGGGGTTTTAGAGATCCTATAGGACTCAGAGATGGACCGTGGATCCGCGGAGAGTATAATAGAGGCCTGAATAATGATTACCTGTGCTATTTGTTGGGGGGGTTGCTTCTCATACTTATAGTATAATGAGCCCCAGAACCCTATTCTAAGCAATAAGGCCCCCACATCAGGAGCGCAGGTCCCCCCATAGGGCCCTGCAGGTTCCTTCTTTGGCATTTTTGTGAGGTACCAGCCTCCAGGCTCGTTGGCAGGTAGTTTCAGGACTTGGGAAGTCTGCAACCCTAAGCCCTACCTGGACCCTAGGGAACCTACCCTTTCTTGGGGTTCCCTAATATGATTTCTTTATATAAGTCCTTAAAAAGGTAGGTTACGTGGGGTTAAGGTAAACCCCTAAACCCTTGAAGGCACAGTCACTTTACTTGTTCATTATATCTGTGTTGCTTATCATCATGACTACTTCCTTTAGTGTCGTTTCACTTGTCAGACCTCGAACCATATGCCTCGCCTTGATTGTCCGAGTGTGAGCCCCGAAACCCTTGAAGAAGGTGCCCTAAACCCTAAACCCCAAAAGCCCTAAACTCTCGACTGATGTACGATCGCTGTAAGGAGCCACTTCCACAGCAGGCGACGAGCACTGGTCACGGCTACTCGTTCCAGGTTCAGGTTCCTTCGGGGTACTTAGAAATAACTTTTTCATTTTTTTGTTATTATAATCCCAAAGAAACAGCAAAAAATATATTTTTTTGCTAGGGTTCTAAGTTCAGTATAGGTTCTGGAGCTTTGGGTTTAAGGTTCAGGTTGAGCCCGGCGCAAAAGGTTTCCTAGTAGTCGAGTAGGTAACCTTGAACCTTTTTTGGGTAGCAGAGTCCTTGTATAACTATATAACCAAAAAGGTTAACCGTTGGTTCACCATGATACCCGACAAGTAGGGCTTAGAGTTATGCTCAGTTTAAACTTCGGCTTTGGAAAGGTGCATTCGGGGTTCAGGGTTCAGTTTCGCTGGCACAGACTCCAATCCCGCGCTGGAAAAAAAAGGTTCAGTTTCGGATAGTTCCATTTTGATTTTGGGCTGCACGCCGATATTTGAGAATTTGGGCAACGGGTTTAGGAGTGTTCCGCTTGGCCAGAGACTCGACTTTGAGTGCATGCGCACCTGGGTCCAAGTTACAGAGTGTTCTGCAGGGTTTAGGGTTTAGGGCCCTAAACCCGAAACCCTAAATCCCTAAACCCTAAACCCTAAATCCCGAAACCC